CGTCGCAGCACGTGTGATAAAAAACGGCCCACGAATGGACGACCTCCGACGCTCTTACGCGGCGCGGCGGGCGGGCGGGCAGCAGGCTGGCGTTATAGGGGGGATCCAACCGTTATGCGCACGTAGGGGTAGGGGCAGGGCGGGGGCAGCTCGGCGTGCAGATACAGAGGGGGTGAAGGGCGGCGGTGGCTGTGTGGAACCCCTTCAGCACGGCTCGGGCGGGAGGGACACAGTGTACTGTGCGTATGATTAGCATGGTCTATGGCAACAATAGAGGAGGGCTCGGAGGGCGTAGTCGTGGTTGTGAGTGTGTGTGTTTGTGTGTGTGTGTGTGTGTGTGTGTGTGTGTGTCTGTGTGTCTGTGTGTAAGAGAGAGAGAGAGATGGACCGTGTGTGCGTGTGAGTGCGCGCGCCCGTCACGGGCACACACATGTGATGTGAGGAGCCCCGCACTGCCAGCGCTGCCCCCCTGGGGTGCAAGGTGGGAGAGAGGGAGGGTTTGTCTCTATCTCAGAGCAGACGTGTACACTGCTCCCCCAATCTCTCCCTATCCGCCCCAGTGGCCCGGCCCCTCTCTATCTGCTCGCTATCCGTCCGCCGCACGCCTGAGCGAGTACTTACCTCCTCCTGCTCCGCCGCGCCTGGACCGCGCCCTCACGCCGCCCGCCCACGGCTTACACGTGACACGGCGCTGCAGGCTCACCACCCATAGGCGCTTGCGCAACGGCTCCCCGGCTCCCACTGGCTCCGACAGCTCTTACGGCTCAATTAGTCTCGGAGCTCCGATCGCCAGTCGGGATCAGCTGTTATGTGTGCCCCGGTTAGTCTATCTCACCCCTCGAGCGCGCCCGCGGCCCGGCCCTGCCGCCCACCTGGGCGGCGCCATGCCCCAGCTCATATACCTCCCGTGAGCGCCGCAGCAGCCAGCCGGAGGACATGGAGGAGCAGCGCCTTCCTACTTTGGTTCGCCTCCAACTTTCTTTTTTTTGATCGGGTGCCAATTCTCTGATGAAGGCGGCGATGGGGGCGGCGCGGGCGGCGACGCGAGGACCTCGTGTGCGCGTGCAGGGCCAGCCCGGGCCAGACGCGCGGCGAGTGGCGGCGAGGAGTGTTGATGGCCTCCTCCTCCGCGGCGCGCTGCTGCAGCCCCTGTGGCTATCCTTCCCTTTGATAACTCATACCAGACCGCCTGCAAAGGGGTAGCGGCGCCCTCAGCGGTGTCCGCGCCGCGCTGCAACGAGTGCGTGCTCGAGGCGGGCCGCGGGGAGCGAGAGAGATAGAGCGAGAGGGAGAGAGCGAGAGAGAGATATAGAGATAGAGCGAGAGAGAGACGGGGATGAGCGACTCTGCGTTCAAGTGCCGGCCGGGCGCGGCCGGGGGTGGTGTGGGCGTGTGGCAGAGGACTCCCATTACCCGGCCCGACCCGGGCGTGCGTAGAGGTGCTCAAGGATCTCTCTTGCTCACTCTCTATCTCTCTCTCGCTCCCGCTCACTTCTCCAGGCGAAGGCGACACCTCGCCCCCTCACTTCCTTCATGCCCCCCTTCCCTTCTCCCGGTGTCACTCCTCTCTCACACACACACTCTCCATGTGTCACATCCTTACTGAATAGACTTCTCTTGCGCAGAGGGCCTAAGCCCGAGCAGCAGACGCTGTGGCGCTGGCTGGCAGGAGCCCTCTCCTGAAGCCCCCCTCCCCCCCCTACTGCACACACGCGACACAATGGTCGTGGAGATGACTGCAGATAGGACCATCATCATCTTCTTCTTCCCTTTCCGCAGCGCCACGCAACACGGCGGGGCGGGGCTCCAGCAGCAGCAGCAGACGGCACGACGACCCGAGGCGCGGGCGTAGCGTGTGCCATTGAGCCACCGTGTGTCGTGTTGTCTTCCAGTGGTAGGCTCTGAGCATGTGCTGGAGCAAGAGGGAGGGAGGGAGAGATAGAGGGGGGGGGGGCGAAGCTTTGCACCTCTCTCCCAACTCTACGCCGACAGCCATGAGAGTGAAGCAGTTAAGGAGCGGAGTAGCCTTATGAGTGGGTGTCTTTAGGTGGCGACGGCGGCAGACGAGACGCCATAAAGGCGCGTTGTGGGTCGTGGCGCTCCTTCTCTCTGGGGTTTCACCCCGTGTTGTCTCGCCCCTCCCCCTTTTCCCCCTTTTTTCTCGAGGCGCCAGGATGTCGTCGGCGCGTGTCGTCTGCTAGTCACGGTCAGGGACACGGTCGCTTAGGAATAACTCTAAGGGAGGGGGGGGGGGGTGGCGTCGCCTCGCGTCTCCCTCGTAAACGCGAAGGGCGTAGAAGGGGGGGGGGAGCACGGTGACTCACTGGCCCCCAGCCGGCCCCCCAGCTGCTGCAGCAGCCGGTGCCGATTAATTGTCTGGTGGTAAACGGGACGGTGGGCTCGGGGAGGGGAGGGGGAGGGGGGCCCTGACTGTGACTGTGAGTGGCGTCTGCTCGTCGTGGTGGTGCCTCTGCTTAGCGTACAATAAGAGCAAGGAGAAAGGGCCGGGCGATGAAGAGGCGGACCCTGCCCGTCAGGCGCGCCTTGTCCTTTTTAAATAAGATGGGACAGCGCGCGAGGCTGCGGTGGTGGGCGCGGCGAGGCTAGCACGGGGCTGCGAAGGGCAGGAAGAGCCTTTTCCTCTCTGTTTTGCATCGTGGAGCGGGTGGGGCGTCGGCGTCGGCCTCGGCCTTCCCTCGCGCCGGGCCGGAGGGGGCGGAGGCTGCGGCCGGTTATGTAACGGTGGCCCGGGCCGGGCTGGCGCGCACGATGGGCTGCCTACCCGCGCGGCGCTCCCAGCCTCGACTGGCTGCGCTCCTGCCACTTCAGAGACGGCCTGGTTCGTCGCTTTCGAGGTCGCCACATTTTCGGAACGTGTCAGTAAAGGACTTTGTTTCTCTCCTCGTGTTGCAGGGCCCCGAGTCCAGCGCCGGCTCCTCGGCGGACTCCGGCAGCGGCTGGGACGCCGTGGACTCGCCGTGCGACATCAGCCTCCTGGAGCGGCTCATCCGCTCGCACCCCGTGTGGTTCCTGCCGGGCATCCAGCGCGCCGGCGCCTTCCACCTGCTGCAGGGCAAGGAGGAGGGGGTGAGTGGAGTGCGAGCGGAGTGT